GCAATGTTATATTTTATTGTAAAAGTTACAGAGAGTCGCGTGGCTTAAATCATTCCCTATAAAAGAAATGCGAATTATAATGGATCATTATCTGATATGGATTAAGTAGTTATATGAAAAAATTAAAAGATAACTATCACTAACTTGATTTGATTTGATTTGATTTGATTTATTGGTTTCTGCATCTTTTTTCTTTTTTTCATCATACATTTTCATGAACTTAATATGGCTTGATACAATATTTCAAGTGTATATAATTTTATACAGATAATACACGATATAAAACAGACGGTGTTAAAGAATAATAACAATTTTCGGTTCTTGTATAGTGCATTATAACGTCCCTATGCGCTTCTAAAAAGCTTTCGTATTGCCCCACCTTTTGCATGGCTGCATGCTATTACGGCGCTCTAGCATTTCAACGAATTGATCCCTGCCGGGTACCCATTAATCTCACCTTGGTTGTCACGTGCTAATTTATAAAAAGATACAGAAATCCTATATAGGAACAAGAAAAAGAGGAAAAAAGGCCACCCTAGGCGCCTTTTGGAATATAAATTGAATAGGGGGCAAGAACACAATAAGAACACATTTTTGTGTACATAAGGTATGCAAGATAAAGGGGGGTATGGTCGGTTGCGACCACACCTCTTTTTTCCTCCTATATCCACCGCAGATCCGAGCTTATACCTCAGTCACGCTGCCAAACCGGCTCCAAACCAACTCCAAGCCGGAGTTCGTTAGGGTTAATGTAATGTTTGATCGGTCTGTTCTCGGTATGTTCTCGGTCTCGCTGATGTGACTGGGGTATGAGGTTGACATGGATAATAATAATAATAATTTTGTCTACCCAAGGCCATGGAAGCATCATCAGCATCAATCCTATTCATCTTGAGGACCCTGCAAGTACTATGCATTACACCAGCCATCTCCACCTGGGTGGAGAGGGGTCAGTGTTAATTAATGTCTAGCCTAAGAACTCTAGTGCCGGGCCGAGATTCGAACCCTCAATTCTTGGATTGAGGGTCATGTGAATGAAGCACTGTACCACGACACTTCCACATCGTTGATTTTTTTGTTAAATCATTGAGACAGTAAGAATCCGTGGTTTTACGAGAGAGTTCCTTGGCGACACGAAGTACTCTCGAGCAATCTCCGATGAACGACGAGAGTACTTGGTTCGTTGAAGCGTTTTCTGATCTCATGATAGGTTTGACATATCTCTATGTACTTTGGACTATAGATGGTATCCTGTACTCAACATTAAAACACTCTCTTCTTGAAATCAGTGCACTGTTTTACGAGAATGCCAAGAGGGACCTCCCCCGCTGTACTCGCAAGTTGAGGGTTAAGCAATGGCGAGTTTTATTACGACTTACTTAGGGACGACCTGCTTGGAAAGTCACGGTGCTAATTTTGCTTCTATGTTTACTTATTTGTCACGTTTTAGTAATAAAACTGGCCAAAATGGATAGCGTGGAGGAATTTTCACCTAATGGGTAAAAAGGTAAACGTGTATACGTGCTAGAACGAGATGAACCCTCGATGAACTTCTATCTCACTCTAATCGGTTTTGGTAGTCTTAAACAGGTTGTGTCATATTGAGTGGCGGTATAATATAGCATGACATAAGTAAAATTATTAACATTAATAGGAATGGATCCGGGAGGGGGCTCCTGTCATTTTCTAACTCTGAGAGGGAGTTAGGAAGAGAACAATCTTCCTCATTCCTTTAATGTGAATATTTTCCTGGTGTTGTGATTTTTGGAGTGTCACCGGCTCTCTTAAATGGGGAGAAGGTGTATTTTCCAGACAACTTAATTAAAATTGTCTCATTCATGATGACAGATGGTAGTTTATTGACTATCGTTTCAAATTGCCTTGGTCATGACAACTCAATAGTATCCCTAATTAAAAAACCTATTATGCGAAACTTAATGAAATATCAACATCCGTTCCATAAACTCTGTTTGTAAATCAGATTTCTTGGAAACAACATAAATCAGTCTCCCTCTCTCATTCTCCCGTTTATACGAATATGACATCTTACAATTACCATAATTCTACCTCACGATAGTGAAGGGGGTATGTCCTTTAGAAGGCAAACATCATTATAATCTAATCCATCTCCGATTGGTAAGCTGAACAAGCAGAATAAAAGGGTGTGTAAACATCAAGAACTCCGGCATTGCTTTCAATTAAACCAGCCGGTATTTGATCGACCTGTTGCATTTTGGGATGGTCCACTATCCACTTCTAGTTGTCATGATGAGGAAAGACAATGGCAATATATTGATGCCTGATCAGTGCATGACAGATTATTTGTATACATGGCGACAATATTCTGGATGAATCAACATTAATGTGAATGCTGGAACATAATGAGGCTTATGAGAGGCGTGGTCCAGCTCCCGACATTATGATTGAGGGGTATTGGTATCATGGGTGGGGCAGTAACGGTCTTGGAATACGAATTAACAAGGTCATCAACTAAGGGAAGGGTGAGGAAAATGATCATCTCTTTACGTTTCCCCCTTTCTTCTCTCCCCTCCCCCTCTCTCTTTCTCTCTCTCTCTCTCTCTCTCTCTCTCTCTCGGTCTTTTTCTCTCTCCCTCCCTGTTTCTCTCTCTCTCATTCTCCGTTTTCCTGTAATACAAGAGGGTTATTTTAGGTATTGAGCTATACTGAACTAACACTCTAAGTATCAATCAGTTTGATAGAACTGCTGAAAGTTTAAAACGCTACAACATCGAAAAAAATGAAATCAACGGGGAATAATAATTTTAGAAAAGATATATAGTGTATATAATGACAATGAGATGTGTAAATATATCGCAAAAGTAGGTCTATAACGATGAACACATTGGGTGATATCGCTGTATATCCTAAATCCATTAATTTACCAATTGAGAGTAGTGTGTCTTTATTGTCGCATCATGATTGAAGTATGTGCATAATGACACATTACTTTAATGCTACATGAGTGCTCTATTACAACCATTAACCATTACGCTCTAATCAGGTACGATCTTGCACTTAGCATAATGTGTTCACATCTTAACCTGACATGAATCTCCCCCACTATATAGCACATGCAGGGTCGGATGTGTGAATTGTGTTTGTAGGGTGCCACTAATAAGTAAACTTTCCGCATCCTGGTTAGTCTACAGGTGTCAGTCGTTATGCTGAACAGACGATCTGAACTATAAGACTGCAGATTGCACGCAGTGGCACCCCTACTGTAGCAAGAGTATAAAACGTAAGGCTTCACGCAAGTCGCAAGACTAAACATGTTTATGTAAAGACTAAAATTAGAGGTTGTGTGGATGTTGAACTCAATTTTACAGACGCGTAATCAATCAGATTATTTTACTACAATTAGATATGATTGTTTAAATTTAACGTTACTATCCGAAAGACCTGACTCAGTTTCGAACCTTGATCCGTAAGAGTCAGTGTTATAGTCGAAGACAGAGACTCAAAGTACCACTGACGGTACCGCTTGACCAAAACATCTTCCCTTTTAAAGCTCGGCTATAGGCATCACTCAGCACAATATATTTTGTTACAATGTTAAATTCGAGTCTGTGTTTGCAGAATAGAAAGTGGATGCCTGAAAACTCCTAGTAGCGAGCGGGAAAAAAGGTTAATGAATTATCACCAGGACGCGCAAGGCACGAGAAAATACATTCTTTGGAGCCCATTGGAGGCATTAACCAAAGAGTCGTTAAACGCCTCATTATTCACCGTTAGCGTATTCGGTAATTTGCTCGAAACAATTATTTAAAGGTTAATGGTATCGAAATTTGCGTTAGAAAAATTTCTGAGTATATACCGAAATAGCGATTGGCGTCTACTACAGTATAATGTTGCATTCACTATTGTCCTGTCCCTCCACTCTTGGACTTACGCCAATTTTCCTACCACCCCCTAACTTTCTCTCTCACTCTTATCACCTCGTCCACCAAACGCCACGTCCTCCATATCTCTCTCTCTTCTCTTCTCTTCTCTTCTCTTCTCTTCTTCTCTCACTTCTTCTCAATATCTCTGTATATCTTCTTGCCTTTCTGTCATTTTATAATCACTACTGTCTTGTCTTATTATTTAATCATCCAGTCTGTCACCTTGATTATCTCTCTTTTCCAGTTAAAGCTCTCTCTCTCTCTCTCTTCTTTTCACAGCCTCATCTTTCGGTTTTTCTTTTTTCCCTCTTTCTCTCAATCCGTCTACATTTCGTATATTACATCCCTCTTTTCTGATTCTATTTCTAGTTTGATCAAATAAGATATTTGGCATTTGGGGCAAGATGTCGTAGGCATTCTTTAATCATCAGTAATTTCATATATATTTTTCTGTTGCACTTAAATCAAGAATAGAGCGAAATGGGATAGAAAATTTCACGGTTTGGAAACACTGATTGTTTTTTTTTATTCGTGATCGTGCTTTATAATAATTATGTACTGAATGATTTAAAAAGTTCATATTACATTTTCAAGGACAATCTCGCACAATAGCTCAATGTTTTATCGTTGCCTTGATTACAATTTTACAATGAAGATCAGTTTTCATGTAATTAGTCGAATGGATATCACTTGGATCCTTTTTACTCTCATGATTTCAATGCGGGGGTAAACTTCACCCTCGTACTAGGCTCACAAAGAACTTGATTATTAACGGGATCGCTCATACTTTGACACATTATCGAAGAAATCGTTTTGAAACGTCGTTGGTTCGTTTCTCGTTCGTAAATGGTTATCAATATTAACGAGATGAAAGGAAAACTAAGCAGGTTCCGAGCTGAATGAAATGAAAAGGTCTTGCAGGTGCCATACCATCCTTTACTTGTGTTCTTTTATCCTTTTCCTTCTTCATTATTTTTCTCTCATTTTACAATTCGATTGAGACACGGGCTGTCATGTCTCCACCATTATAATGCACAATGCTAATAATAATTATAAATCTATATCTATATCCTTGGTCATCTGCAGGCACAACTTCGGCAAGAATCGTCAACTAGTCTACGGACCTCGCTGAAACCATGAATATTTCCTCGACCTCGACCTACGAGGATGAAAACTTCGGTGAGCGAGTCAGTATGGCCGTGCTCCTCTGTATAATATCCTTCCTGGGCATCGTCGGTAACACGCTCACCATCTTCTCCGTGATCGCCTGCAGGAGGTTGCAGACATTACCAAACGCCTTTGTCGTCAGCCTGAGCCTCAGCGACTTCCTCAATTGCTCCATCAATATCCCCGTCCAAGTGACAGCGCTGACGCAGAAAGTTGACGGAACGATTTTCAATTTCGTCTGCATGTCATCCGCCATTTTGAATTATTTACTGATCACGTGCAGTGTATCCATGCTGGATTTGATCGCCATAAACCGGTATATATTGGTCACCAAATCGCATCGGATTTACACGTTTCTCTACAACAAAAGAAACATGGTGGTGACGATTGGTGGAGTCTGGTTCTCCTCCGCTGCAGTTCTAATAGCTCTAGGACCTACGGGAGTTGTTCTTTATGGTTACTCGAATGAGTTGTCATTGTGCCAACTTAAGGAAGAGAGTCGCGTCATTGATGTCATCTGTGGATTGCTCTTCTCGGGTTCGTTCATCATCGTTTCATCCTGTTACATCAAGATATACATTCATGTAAGAAAACATTTGCGCCAAGTGGCCCACATTAGACTCGGCCCAGGCCGGCCGACCCCGAGCACATCGGCTCAGACAAATTCATCTGGGAATATCAGTAATATCATACCCGTGGATACGACTGGGAACCGGCTCGGTGAGACGGCTACTCCGAGACCTTATGAAAAAGAGGACAGTCCTGTGGATGAGACGGAGAATCGGATAACTATGAATATGATCATCATCGTGGTTTGTTTCTTTCTGTGCATCTTGCCTACGTTGGTGATAGTCCTGCTACCTGGTACACAGAATGCAGGGCTCTTTACGGTGGTCTTCCTCTACTCGGCATCGTGTTGCAATCCTATCATCTACGCTTGGAAGCATCCCGTCTTCAGGAAGGTCTTCAAGTGCATCTTTAAGAGGAGGTGGGCTGAAATTGAGGAGCCGTCGCCATGGTTACGGGCTATGTTACCGAGATGATTGGGTCTGGGATCAATCTCCCTTGTTATGACAAACTTCTTAATATTCTACTTCAAAATTGTTATAGAATGAAAAAACATGATAAAAGAATGGACAATATCTGGGTGTGATTCGCAATGTCAGATGAAACTGATTAAAATGTGTCTGAGTACCCCGGATATAAAATAATAATCGAATCGCTGTTATTTCATGGCACTTTTTCTTGTTTATCAACATTTTCGGAGATCCGTTGAAAAGCTAATCTAAAGCTTGCTGTTCAGGAAATATTTCAGTAGGAGATTCAAATTGGGCAAAGGTGGAACAATTTCATTGATGAATATTTAATAATAATAATAATAATAGTGGGTTCTTTAAAAGCGCTCATGTCTGTCAGGCGTGACATTCCTGGCGCTCCCGATTATTACCCTGCATGGCTTTAGCATGGCTGCCATTGGTTGCTCTAGCGTTTCATGGAATTAATTCCTGCAAGATAATTGGTGAATATTGAACGAAATTCGTTTATTTTTTCATGAATTTGATAGAGGAATGTAAACAGCATATGCTGCTTCATAAAAAATTTGACTTCTGAAAGATCATCGCCATAATTAATTGATGCTCATAATTTAATACATTTTGTTGGCGTCGTGTGTTTTTTATAGATTTTTTATGTTCAAGCTGTAAAAGACATTTCATATTCTCCCATTTTTATTTTTTTATCTCTTATTATCAACGGATTATTTATTGAGACAGGGCTGAAATCTGCAGTAAACAATCGGTAAATAACCAGAGGGCAATCACACTCGGACAACTACACCTATACCAAAGAGATTTCCATAATATTGTTCATGTTAGACTCCCTTTTATATTGCGTGTATAGAAGATGTATTCGAGGGAGGGGGTCCTAGGGGTATAGTTATAGATAATTGTGTTGAGGTCATAGTCAGGTAGTCCATGGGATATTGTCCTAGAATAGAAATAATTCGCATATCTACCATTTTGCCATGAATTATTGTGTCAAAGAGAAACATGACTTGTATGTTTATTGAACCAGTACTGATAAAAACTAAAGATTCATAGAAATCTACCAACATGATCTTGTAAAAAAAAAAGTTCATGTGAATCCTTTTGCATCGTAAAAAAGGGAGATGAGGAATGAGTCAACAGGCTCATCGGATAATCGAAAATGCTGAATGTGGTTATTCTTTCAAATTCAAAATAATGATCTTTCGAATAATTGAAACTTTGCGAAATATATATAAACACGAGAAAGAGGAGGAAAAGAAATTATACCGTGATATTGGGTTTATCAGCTTCAAATCGGATCAATAGATAATTTTGTAAGCCTTTCAACCAGAATGAGTGCGCTCATTATTGTTTTGATAACAGAAATTGGTGGAAAATTGAACTGACGTAAAAATGATTCACTACCAATAAAAATGATATAAAAACCAATAAAATCTGTTCTCATTATGTGTTACTAAAAGGTTCAATTTCTGTCACTTTCTCCATAATAATATGTTTTTTTTTCACATAGCTTCTACTCTATATTCCTACGTAATAACTATGTTTCCTAAAGTCGTATAGGTTTTTCAGAGGTGTTGAAGAAAAGCGGGGAGTTTTCTGCTTAGCATAAAAATTGTCTCTCTGAACGAGGGAAGAATGGAGAAGGGGAGATAGAGAGAGAGGGAGAGAGAGAGAGAGGGGGATAGAGAGAGAGGGAGAGAGATAGAGAGAGGGAGAGAGAGAGAGAGAGAAAGAGAGAGAGAGACTGAGAGAGAGAGAGAGAGATGAGAGAGGGGAATGGAGAAGTATATGGAGAGAGGAAAGTGAGAGACACAGATGGAAGAAAGGTGTAGAGATGTAGCAAAAATAGAGTTGGGAGAGAGAGGGGGAGAGAAATGGAGAGAAATTGAGAGAAATAGAGAGGGAGAGAAAAGGAGATAGAGAGAGAGAGAGAGAGAGAGAGAGAGAGAGAGAGAGAGAGAAGGGACAGATAGTCAAGATAAATTAAGCGAGGAGAGAGAGAGAGAGAGGGACCAACACAAATATAGGGCGGATGGGTAGTTGACTGTTATCCGAATTTGACTAAAGTATTTAGTCTTGTTAATCATTCTGACACAACGTGATCACATTATTAAAGAATTTAACAATGGGATTTGGATTAACAAGAAAAAAAATATTTAAGTTTCGAATTCATAAGAAGGGGAATACCATTATTTTGTTTCTATAATCTGACAACATTAACTGTCAACAGTTTATCTTTGTCTGAAAGAATGACTATATAGATAAAATGATTCCGGACTCACTCGTCATGCAGGAAACCACTGGTTCCCATTTACACACAGTGGTAATACCGGAAATTCATGTCCGCAACGGACATCAACAGACTTCAAAAGGACTAGCACAAACATTCACCTGTTCTATTCACATTGGAGCAGCTGGCAGTCAACACCTCTTCAAAGGTGGGTACAAAATTGTTTGAACGTGCACTATTATCTGTGTTTGACTGCTTTAGAAACATTAATATCATTTCATGAGCCATTACGTCCGTTGCAGGTGCTTTGATACAATTAAACATATTTTTCAATTTCTATATTAATCGTTGAGTGTTTTCACAATCATTACCGTCACTGTGAGCCTTGTCTGTTAGTTTTTATAGGAAGCAGCACAGCACTGCTAACGTCAATGTACCGAGTGAGTCAAAGAAAAGTTTACACCTAGAAAATTGCTAATTATTTTAAAATTCATTTATGAACAGTAAATTATTATACATCTTACGAAAGAGCGTTTTATCCCAAATCATTTGGTATCATTTTTGTGTGGTATGTGTTCACGCTTAGATGAACAGGTGGCATTGCAAAAATCGACTTGCGCCAAGGTGATGTCCACAGCATGACGGATTAGCGGAGTGAGAGAATGAATTGAATGTATCAAATGAAATGCATTGCATATGCTTGTTGCAGAAGCAAAGTCACACACGCACACACACACGCACACAAATGTTCGTTGATATTTGATATGTGTGGCATGATTAAATTTGTTAGGGATTTTGTTTGGATCTGCAAAAACCGATTTAATACCAAATCCCTATTGTTATATTTAAACATCAGATAAGCAACTTTGGCGCAATTCGATTTTTTGCATCTCGCAAACAATGCCTCCTGTTCATACAAGCGTGAACACATACCACACACAAAATGATACCATATGATTTGGGATAAAACACTCTTTCGTAAGATGTATAATAATTTACTGTTTATAGATGATTTTAAAAATAATTAGCACTTTTCTAGGTGTAAACTTTTTTTTGACTCACACTGTATAGACTTACTTCGAACCACTCGAGTCATTGCATTCGGGTTCGGATGGTCGCGTCACACGACCTTTCGTAAAACGAAAGCGACCTTTCACAAAACATTTTGTGAATGAGAAAGGTATATTTTACAAACGTTGACTCCCGATATTTTGTGAATAAAAGGGGCATGTTTTCACAAAAGGTCGGGTATAACGCGACCACCGGCCGACTCGACGCGATGATTCGAAGTAAGCCAATTTATACGTCCACCATGTCCTAATTAAAAATTGATAATGATGAATTCTAACGACAAATCAGTGATAGATTACTATGTGACCAACCAAGATTTAGATCAATTTATTTGAATGATTTATGTAGTTTTCAAGAATATTCTCCTGAAACCCAAACTATTTCAACAAGATGAATACGTTTGCTTCTCTAATATGCCTCCGCCTATAATTGATAAATGATCCTATGATCTCAATAAAAAACATATGTTTTTCATTTGATTATTGTTTTTAAGTTTTACATACTCGAGCTCAGTTTGGTCCATCACATCGGTTCAATTTTTTTTAAAATTATGACGGTAGTAAGATATTTTTTGATATTTTTTCTTTTACGCTTTCATGTCATTTTACCTTTGACCTTTGACCACTTACACCGAAGATCTTATCAGTTCATCATTGGATGCTGATACATACTTCATTCAAGTTCAGTCTAGAATTCTTTAATGCTTTTCGGGTTTTGCGGTAACAATAAAGTCAATAAGAGGGAAGGCCGGACGAGCCTCCTTCTTTGATAATTTTTTTTAAAATATTGTTATTTTCATTTTCATTTTTTTTCTCCATATTTGTTTACTTTATTTATTTGTACTAGTATTATTTGTTATGCTTTGCTTTAATTTGCTCTACTTCCTCTCTCTCCAATAGAGGTTCTCGACGGGTCGGGAGTGTTCAAGCATACAACAAAAAAACTTGAAGTCCCTCCATTAAATATGTAGAAACATGTATGCAAGAACCCCAAAGCCTCCACCAATATCATTCTTCTAGATCCACACCTGCCCCCCCCCCTCTCGCTCTCTCTATCTCCCTCTCTCTCTCTCTGTGTCTAGTTCCATACACTGAAATTGTTGTTTTTATCGTTCAAGGGGCTTTTTGAAACTTACTGTTTTTCCTTTGCCTATATATCTGTCTCTTACCATGTCTTTTTGCTTGTCTCCCTGTCCTTGTCTTTACTCTGACCCCCTCTTTTTCTGTCTATCTACCTTTGCCCATATTATTTTGTCTGCCCCTTGCCCCCTCCCCCATCAACCCCCGTCTCTTTCTCTCTATCTCTCTCTCTCTCTCATTCACTCACTCCCTGCCTCTCTCTCTCTCTCTCTCTCTCTCTCTCTCTCTCTCATCTCTTTCCTTCCCATCCCATCCGACTCTTTCTTGAACAGCACCCTGCTCAAGTACGCAATCATCATGGTATACTACGTAATACGCAAGGGTCGGCCTGATGATTGTGGCGCTCTCTTTCGACTCGTCACGGAGACAGCCGAGTTTAGTAGTCAGAAGAAACACCCAGGAAGCGATGACAGAGACACTACCGTAGAAACTAGTGAAGAAAGTAAGCTGTATAACTCAAACTAACTTAATATAGTTAATTTTTTAACCCTATCTCTAAAATCCACTAATCTCAACAACAACAAAATTAGATGCTAGAACGCAAATTGCATAATTAAGTTGTGTTCTTCTAGGGTGAAGGATTTTTTTTTTGTAATGAAATAGATTTGTCAACTGCTATATTTTAGTATTTTTTAATGAATAAGTCATACATTATTGTTCCCGTGGTATATATTTTTCACCAAATATTATTTTTATCTTCTCAGTTATGATTATTCCTCATTGAAGCTAAAGCTTGGTGCATGTTACATGTACAACAGTCCTGGTACTTCACATTTTCAAGAAAATGGCTGCGCCCATGTCACGCTAAAAGGCAGGCGCGTACCCAGGATTTTTTCAAGGAGGGGGGGGGGGGGGGGTTAACATTTATAAAT